ATCTAAATGAATTTTCAGGCAAATCTGCTACCATTCAATGCCCTAAGAACACCCATAAAAAATCCTCACATTGAAGACAAACAGTTCTATATCAAGGTTATACTATCTCCTTATCCTTCTTATTCACACTCCAGAAGATACCTAAGTTTTACAGGTTAGGTAATAAAAATGAAGTCTTTCTCAACATTTTGGTCTGGATGATTCTCGGCTATGAGGCCACCCAGGCACTACAGGCTGCTCAGTGGCATCCACGACCATAAGCCATCGGAAGCCAAAGTAAACACCCTCCAGCTGTGTGAACAAAAATGTCTCCCCACATTACCAAATGTCCTCGGGGGCAAAAGTGCCCCCATTTGAGAACCACTACCATAAGGGGAAACAGTGTCCACCCCTGTGAGTATGGGGCAAGCCCTCCCTGGTCTGAAACACCTTCGTGAGAGAGAATGGAAAGACTGGATGTTTCTATGAAAACATTCATGAGAAAGACTGGAGTTAGGTTGGGAAGTGAGGACACCCATAAACTTCTCTCTCCTTCCTCAAATCCACATAAATGACAGAGGCCTAAGAAGAAATCCCAAACATAGCTGGGAAACAGGAGCATGAAGGCAACTGATGAAACACAGCACTGAGGTCCCTTGAGCAACAGAAGAGATTAATCAGCATGACTAAGTGAAGCCTGGAAGGGTAGAGAGGGCTGCGAGAGGGGGGGCGAACCCGTCAAGCCACCAGGCCATGGGCGTGGGCAGTCAGCAGGGCTCCTGGCTAATTGTGCCCATCAAAACGTAACTACTTCCAAGAATGTTACAAAAACACACAAATATGCAGCACCCAAAAAGGTGAAAATTCACAGGGAAATTCTCTAACACTAAATGCCTGTAAGAGAAAAGTCTCACATCACTGACTTCAGCTTTAACCTTTAAAAAACCTGAAAAAGAAGAGCAAATTAAAATCAAAGTGAATGAAAGAAAGGAAATCATAAAGACCAGGACAGACATGAGTGAAGCAGGGAACATTAACACAACAATGAAAATCAATAAAGCCAAAAGGAAGGAAACCAGGACACCGAAGAGGACTCTGCACACCCATGTTTCCCGCAGCTCTGTTTACAACAGCCAACATCTGGAATCAACCTAAGTGTCCATCCACAGATGAGTGGATAAAGAAAATGTGGGACACATACACAGTGGAGTACTATGCAGCCATGAAAAAGAATGAGATCCTGTCATTTGAACAACATGAATGGAACTGCGGTTCATTATGTTAAGTGGAGTAAGCTGGGCACAGAAATGAACATAGCATGTTCTCAATTATTTGTGGCAGTAAAAATTAAAACACTGAACCCATGGAGACAGAACAGAAGGATGGTTACCAGGGTAGTGGGGGTTAAGAGAGGCTGGTTAATGCGTACAAAAACATAGAGCGAATAAAATAGTGTTTGATAGCACAACAGGGTGACTACAGTCAATAATAATTTCTTGTACATTTTAAAGTAACTAAAAGAGGATAATTGGATTGTTTACAACACAAGATAAGTGCTTGAGATGATGGATACCTTTTTTATCCTGATGTGATTATTATGAATTGCATTCCAAAACCTGGTTCATTGATAAAATCAATACAATGGACAAACCTCAGACTGAAGAGGAAGAAAAGCAAATTAGCAACATCTGGAACGAAGGAGATGATGTCATCACAGATCATAGAGGAAACGATGAACTCTGTGCTAACGACATCTAGACTGACCATTTCTCAGCGAGTGGGGGATGCTTTGCCCACGGGACTTGGCGGTGCTGAAGACTGCCTGGCACTCACTGCTTGAGGGAGGCATGGCTATCTCTGAGCAGAGGCCAGCTGCTGTGGAATGGCCTCCACGCCCAGGAAAACCCACAACAGAGAACTCTCTAAGCCCAAATGCCAATGGTGATGCCTATTCTCCTAAAGGTACACAGTTTCCCATGGAAAACTCCACCCTCCCAAGGTAGAATCTAACAGAAAAACCTCATTCAGCAGCTGTGTGGCTGAACCACAGGCACGTGGGTCTCAGGCGTCCAGAGCACGTGCCTGTCCTGATGGCCATGCAGCAGCAGAGACCCTGCAGATGGTTCTGTGGGCTCATTATGGGGACAGTGAGGGCAGAGGAAGAGCCCTCCTCTGGCTGGATTTGCAGTGGGATTAGGGGGTTTCCTCAAGCTGGCTCTTGCAGCATATAGTTGGTATCTGACCTGCACCTTGAGCCAACACAGGGTGCTGCTTGTCCTGCAGCCAGAAGACCTCGCTCCAGAGACCACCATGGAGGTGCAGAGGTCCCTCTCAAAATATCTGTCTCCTGTCCCTGATGCCCTGTGGCTTCCACTGCCCTCAGGGAGTGAGGTGCCAGGGGACACGCGGGCTGCTCCAGTGAGTTGTGGCTGGATGCTGAGCTGCCTGTGCCACTAGATCAGTGAGCAGAAAAGAAGCAGGTGTGACCACATCCCCGGATGCAGGAGAGCCTCTGCTGCTGATGAGGCCAGCGTGTCTGGCCATAGGTTCCCTGAATAGCTAGCACGACCACACCTACCAGACAAAGCCTGCAGCAGATGGCAGTGACCAGTGACCCCACACAGGCAGAACCACGGGAGGTCAGCACTCGTCTTCACAGAGGGAAAGGCTCAGAGCCAGGAATGGGGCCAGGACAAGGGGAACACACGGGGGTGGGGACAGGAGTCATGAACACCGGGTCCTCAAAGCACAAAAGCTGCCTGTAGCACTGCTGCGTCGTGTAGATATTTACACAGGAAAACCAAGCCGACACACACCCCATTCCTGCAGGGGACCTTGGCAGCATCTCAGTCAAGGTGGGCTGTGCTGAACCAGAGAAAGAAGGAATGTGCCCGGGCACTCCTGCAATCCCAGCACTGTGGGAGCCGAGGCGAAGAGATCGCTTGAACCCAGGAGTTCAAGATCAGCCTGGGCAATGTGGCAAAACCCCATCTCTACAAAAACTACAAATATTAGCTGGGTGTGGTGGAAAACACAGGGGCTGAGGTGGGAGGATCACCTGAGCCCAGGAGGTTGAGGCTGCAGTGAGCCATGAAGCACCCAGTATTCCAGCCTGAGTGACAGAGGGAAAAAGAATAAGAAAGGAGGATGAAGAAACAAGAAAGAGGAGGAGGATGAAGAAAGAAGGAAGAAGGAACCTCATCCCAGGATCCTTTAGGAATTACAGGACGTGACAAATGAGACTGCAACTTCCCCTCTGGTATAAAGCCACGTGGGATTCCATCCCATAAGGGATATCTGTGCCTCATGGGAGCTGCCATTGTTATCACACAAGAGAATGAAAGGACAGCCGGGTGGATGGACCCAGGCCACAGACTCCAGGCCTGATGAATGGCCTCCCTGCACTTCTGACAGCTCCCCGTGCTGCAAATGACCCCTTCCCAAAGTGCAAGACAAAACGAAAACAAACATCAACAACAAAAAGGATCTGACCGACATCTCTGGCAGCTAGAGGCAGGCACCACAGCTGCATCCTGACACTTAAACATCCCTGCTGGGGTGCGTGTCCCAGGAAGGGCTCTGTACGGAGCTCTGGGATCTGCTCTGTTGAGTCCCATGCTGCTGGAGCTGGTAGAGGCTGCAACCTCTTTACCCAGCCTGGTCAAGGGTCTGTGGGATGCCTGATACCCTTTTCAACAAGTCATTTTCTGTTTAAACACACCAGAGTGAGTCTTACTTTGCAGTTAAGCACCCTAACTCATTTACAGGACAAATACCAATTGCCCCTTGCTGGTTACAGGGAGATTCAATGGAGAGCTGACAAGTGTACTATGGACCATCTTTTCCAATCAGAGGGGAAAGCAGATATAAAAAAATAATAATAAATGCAAGCTTGGCTTACAACTCTTCAGAAGCTGTACACAGAGCTCCCGAAACCCCAGCACAAGAGTTGCCTGTTCCTGGGGCGAGGGGCAACTTGGTCTGGCAGCCTGAAGTCAACACCACCTTCTGAGGCTACCACATAGGTAGAGCAAGGGTTGGAACCCTGAGCCGGGGCACGTGAAGCTGCCACCAAGTGAGATGGAAAAGAAGGAGAGAAACAGAAGGAGGTGACAGGGCGGTGGCAGCAGCATGGCCCGCCCGAAATTCAGACCCTTCCATCAGTGCAAAGCTCTTCTGGAATAAGAATTAAGACTGAATTATACTTAATCCTCTCTTCCCTTCCACAAGTCACACAAAATGCCGTCTCCATGACCGTGCTTCACCCACTGGCACTGGGGCAGGTAAACTGACAGAAGCCTCCTCTCAAATCTGCTCTTTATGGGTCTGGGGGCTGCAGAGGCGGGCACAGCCGCTGGACAGTCCCTGCAGCACCGCAGCAGTGGTCAGTGTGGCATCCACAGCCCCGGATGCTGCTGTCTGAAGGCCGTGTCTTGGGTCACGGCGCTCAGGCCTCTGTACGTGCACTCCTATTTCCCCACACACACAAAGCCCACACAGCACCAGATTCCACAGGGAAGCTCTTTGAAAGCCTCTGGAAAATAATTCAGATTGCCATTGGAAAAGCTCCATTCCAGTGGTATCTGCAGACAATTCGCTGTCACAGGTACGCTGGGGGAATGCACGGATTCATTCGGAGCACGTGAGGTGACATGGCCCTGCTCCTACCTATCAGGCCTCCCAAACTTCTCAATGTTCTCTCACCACTGCCAGTGGTAACACAGCGACAAACACTGCACACGTGAGAAGTCTGTAAACAGGGCTCTGAACAGAAAAACATCTGGCTGCAACTGTGAGCAGTGCTTGCAGCCTCCATGGCTTCTGCCCCAGGAACACTCGCCCCCGCCCGGCCTTACCACACCTGCTGCCTGGCTCTTTCTGGGCAGCTGGCGCCCGGCCAGGCCTGTCATCCCTGCACCCCTCCCCGGGCAGAGCTACCCATCACAGCAGGCAGTAAGCAAATCCTGGGTAAGGACGCAGGACGGACACACACAGGAAGCCAGAGCGAGGTGACACTGTACCTGAGCAGTCCCCATTGTGGCTGGGCTGGGCGCAGGCAGAGGGTTCGCAGCCGAGAGGGATGCCGTGCAGGGCTAGGGCCAAGCCTCAGGTGGCGGGAAAGCCTAGGTGAGGAACGGACAGAAATGGGGAAAATGTGATAAAAAGGGCAAATAACCTTCCCCGCGGGGGAAAAAAAAACATGGAATGTATATTAAAAAGTGAGACTAAGTAACAATTAATCAGCTGAGAATCGCAATATGGCAAGAATTAGTAGGTACAGAAACTGTATATAAAAACTATCACCAGGTGTGTGTACATCTCTTCACGGAGTGGCATGTTACGTAAGTGGATCCAGGATGTATGACCATGGTACCTATTATTTCCATTCTACAGCAGAATTTAAAATGATAATAAAATAGGTTTAACCATTTCGAAATACTGAACCAAAGAGAAATAGTAAAACCGTACTTTAAATCAGGAGTTATGATGATTCCTTAGATAATTTGATGATAAATTGGTATTTGTGAACTCAGTCCAGTTCTGCAAAGAACCAAGCAGCTTCCAAAAAACAAAAAAGCAGTACCAGAAAATATTAATAATTGATCATTTTCTTTCCAGGAGACAAAAATGCTATATACCCAGATGAAATTCAGAATAGCATGCTTTTTTTTTTTTTTTTTTGAGACGGAGTGTCGCTCTTGTTACCCAGGCTGGAGTGCAATGGCGCGATCTCAGCTTACCGCAACCTCCGCCTCCTGGGTTCAGGCAATTCTCCTGCCTCAGCCTCCTGAGTAGCTGGGATTACAGGCACACGCCACCGTGCCCAGCTAATTTTTTGTATTTTTAGTAGAGACGGGGTTTCACCATGTTGACCAGGATGGTCTCGATCTCTTGACCGCGTGATCCACCCGCCTCGGCCTCCCAAAGTGCTGGGATTACAGGCTTGAGCCACCGTGCCCGGCTAGCATGCTTTTTAAAAGAAAGGTGCTAATACATACATTTTCATAAATTACAAAATTCCCTGCTCATTTTCTCCACAGCATACGCATGCATGAAACTATTATTAGCCGCCAGAAATGAATCGAATGAAGTGTGTATTTTTAGGACATACTAGGTTTATAAAGTTACACTGGAAACTTACGCCACTCTTTTCTTCTCGCTGGGCTGGTGTGATTGAAAAACACTCTCCTACATACACTTTATATGCCTTAAAATCTATGATCATGTTATATGAATTTTTCTGAAGGTCAGGGCTGCTGAGCATTGCCTGCTATCCACTGAAAATTAGTTGTTACCAAAATCTCTGACCAAGCATCAATCTGATGATCAGTTACTTAATGCCATGTATTACTTTCAAATGTAAAATCCTAATAAGGTAAGAAAATTAGCTGACTTTCATTGTAGAAAGAACATTTGAAAAATTTTCATTATAAAATAATATACAACCTGAAAATCAACCATTGGTTTCTTGTAACCACTTAATATACACCTTATGCGATTGTCAGTCTAAATTGCATATTCATTTCCAGGCACTTACTGTTAAACTCTCTACCTTTCTAGAATTTACACTTTGCTCTTCAAGGAGCCTTATCCATTTGCTACTAATATATCAACATTTCTCCGTATCACTAGAGACGGAACTAAATCTTTCCCTGCACTGAAGAATCATAAGTAGCCCCACGAATCTTTAACTGTTGAGCATTTGGGTCATTTCCACTTTTCCCATTTACTAAGAATTCTGCATACGTTTTTTTAATGCTTCTCATTATGTGAGTTTACGTAGAATAGGTTTCTAGACAGAATTATTGAGTCAAAAGATATGGACATTATTAATCCAAAACACTGCCAAAACATTGGTTTCCATTTACACTGCCAAATATTGACAATCTTGCTTTTACCACTGATGGGAAAAAATAGTTTATTGCTGTTTTCCTCGACTCTGGGGATCTTTTAATGTGGTTACTGAGCAAACAAATTTCTGTGTAAACTGTTCCTTGGTTTTTTCTTCTTGGGGATACATTTTTCATTACTTTCGAGAAACTCTTTACATATGTCAGATACTTATCTAGTCCATCTGTTGTAAATATTTTTTCAGTTTGTCATTCACCTGTTAGCTTCATTAATGATACCTTTAAACAGCTTAGAAGGGTTTCATATGCATGTATCCAAATCTATCAGTTCCTTCCTTCATGGATTCCGTGATTTAAAAGATCTTCCCAATTCAACACATCTTTTTTTTTTTTTGAGACAGATTCTGTCTCTGTTGCCCAGGCTGGAGTGCAATAGCACAGTCTCGGCTCACTGCAACCTCCACCTCCCAGGTTCATGCAATTCTCCTGCCTCAGCCTCCCAAGTAGCTAGGATTACAGGCACCCATCACCACGCCCAGTAATTTCTGTATTTTTAGTAGAGATGGCATTTCATCAGATTGGTCAGGCTGGTCTCAAACTCCCGACCTCAGGTGATCCACCTGCCTGGGCCTCCCAAAGTGCTGGGATTACAGGCGTGAGCCACTGTGCCTGGCCCCAGTTCTACAATTTAAAAAACATATTGTACTTGCCGGGCGAGGTGGCTCACACCTGTAATCCCAGCACTTTGGGAGGCTGAGGCGGGTGGATCACGAGGTCAAGAGATCGAGACCATCCTGGTCAACATGGTGAAACCCCATCTCTACTAAAAATACAAAAATTAGCCGGGCGTGGTGGCGCATGCCTGTAGTCCAAGCTACTCAGGAGGCTGAGGCAGGAGAATTGCTTGAACTCGGGAGGCGGAGGTTGCGGTGAGCCGAGATTGCGCCATTGCACTCCAGCCTCGGTAACAAGAGCGAAACTCCATCTCAAAACAACAACAACAAAAAATATTGTACTAAATTTTCTGTTAGACGTTCCATAACTATCTTTAATGATTACACATTTAATGTGTTTGAAACTTAATTTTGAGTTGTGAAGTGGAAATGAATGTTTTCCAGTGGATAACCAATTGTCCCGACAAATTTACTGCCGGATCCATATTTTCCAGACTAACTTGAGAATGCCACCCACATAAAAGTCAGTTCTACAGACTGATTTACCTCCTATAGTACTGGTGTATTTCTCTTAGTAGATAGGAACGCTCACGGTTCAGATTTTTCTTTAACACCCTTTACTGAACAATTTTCTGAATTTGTTCTTATAGGTTAACATTATTACCACTTAATCAACTCCCCTATTCCCACCTTCACTACCAGTCCAAACAGGAAAGAGTTCCCACGGAAATTATGTAAGTAACACCCCCACTCCCACTTACATGAAGTGCCGCGTTTCCGTGCCAAGTCAGCCACACAAGTACTGCTCCATACCAAGTCCTTGGCGATGTTTTACGTCCGTCCCAAGTGTTTTACTGTTTTTCCCTATAAATCTTACACATCCCTGTTTCATTCCAAGACATTTTGTGAGATTTATTCTTTCTAAGAATGGGCCTATTTTTCCATGGGAACCCTTTCCTGATTGGATTGGTAATGAAGGCAAGAATAAGGGAGTTGATTCAGTGGTAATGAAGTTAACCTATAAGAACAAATTCACAGGATTGCTCAATAAAGGATGTTAGAGAAAAATCTGAACTGTGACAGTTCTCGCCTAGTAAGAAAAACACACTAGTCCTACTGTATCATATGCAGTATGGTTAATGATTTTCATTCACTCCTCTAGTATTTGTTCTCCAAGCTCAACGTTACTAATTATCTTACAGGTTTTGTATAGTCTCTATCATTTTCCAACGAAAATCAGTCTCTTCATTCCTGGTGTCTTTTCTTATATATTTTCCCAAGATAATAGAGGCTTCAAAAGAAATGAAATAATAGTAATAACCGTGGCATTGCCATTTTGCTTGATATTTTAGCATTTCTCCACATATACATTTCTGATTATACCTTTACCTGTTTCAAGAAAGTTTCTTGCCATTTCTATTTCATTTAGAATTTTATCATAGGTGGCTGCCATATTGCTTAAAAGTCTTACAATATCTATTAATATAATCATGAGGCTTTCTGTTTTTTAATATGTTTATCTTATGCATTACTACATAGAGATACTATTATTAAAATAATATTGCACTGACGAGGCAAAGCTTATGCTCATTCTTAACCTCTAACTAGATTCAATTGGCTAATATTTGGGGTAGGAAATTTGTGTATTCTTAAAAAGGTCAGTCCTTTCCTGTGCTACTTATCAAATTCTGGATTCAGTCATTAAATGAAAGTGATGCTTATTAGTCTGAGATAACATAAAATGATCAGTTCCTAAAATGTTGTATAGAATTTACCTATAAAATATCTGAGTCAATTCTTCTTATAAAGAGACATCTATGAAAATTTTTAATTTTTCCACGGTTACTGCTCCATTAAATTTTTCTAACTTTTGTTGAATCAATTTATGTCATTTATAGTCACAAAGAAAATCAATCATTTCATCTTGATTTTCAAATTTCTTAGCAAAGATTTCTACAGATGATCTTGTTTCTTCTAACTTTATGATTCTATCACATTTTTCACTATTTTCTCAAATTTCTCTTTATTTTCTTTATAAATCTTGCCATAAGTTTCCTATTCTCATGTTTGCACATGTTTGTTTAATCGGCAGAGAGAATTAAGACAGCAAACAGGAGGCAGAACTACCTTTGCAGCTCCCTCTCGGATGGACAGAGCAGCATGTGGAGACTCACGTCATGAACTTTTGCCCCAAGAACTACAGCAGGAACATACTAGGGAAGCTGAAAGAACCCACAGACCCTTTGAAGGTAGTGGATTACCGTTGCAGGTTCCCTGAAACGCCAAAACACTGAGTCAGCACTTTCTCCATGGGGAGGCTCGTGGTCCAGGGAAAGTTCCAAGGAAAGTTCTCAGGGGGTTACTGGCTGCCTGGAAACACATTTGGTGCTATTGGTAGGGCATGGTGGGAGTGAGACCAACCTTTGGGATGACCCGCTGTGTGCGAGTGAGGTGAAGTCTGTCACTGCCAGCTTTCCCCTACTTCCCTAGCAAGACTCAGCAGAGGCAGCCATAGTCCCCCTGAGAACGTAACTGAGAACGTAACTCCATTGGCCTGGGAATCATCCCCCCATCCCTCACAGTAGCTGCAG